ATCTCCCTACACCGGCTATAATTCTGTTAGTGTTGCCAATGGTGCCCATCTTCCCATATGTAATGTTGGTGATGTTGCTTTACCTACATCTGGTCGTCCTCTCACTTTAAAATCTGTTTATCATGTGCCTCAGTTAAAATATAATTTAATTTCCATTAAAAGGCTTTGCGCTGATAATAATTGTACTGTAATTTTTGATAAAAATTCTTTTTTGATTAAGGACAAAGCAACGGGGGCAGTACTTCTGTGAGCTACCAGTAGTGGGCCACTTTATCCTCTCCATCTACCGCCATCATCACCATTAGTTTTTGCTTCCATTTTAGCTTCTGGCCCTGTGTGGCACCGTAGATTAGGTCAATGTGGTGATAGTATTTTACAGTTCCTTAAGAGAACAATTTTTATGTAGTCATACTTCTTTACTCATGAGTGTGTGGTTTGTCGTTTAGGAAAATCACAACGTTTGCCTTTTATGGATGCTAGTCATAATTCTGTTTTTCCTCTGGAAATTATTCATTCTGATGTGTGGCAGTCACCTGTGTATTCAAATTTGTGATTCAAGTATTATGTGTGTTTCATTGATGATTTTTCTCGTTATACTTGGATATATCCCATGTGTCACAAAAGTGAAGTTTTTATGCACTTTAAAAATTTTAAAGCTTTGGTTGAAAATCTTTTTAATCAGAAAATTAAAAATTTTCAAAGTGATGGGGGAGGTGAATTTGTTAATAATAATATGCAGCAATTTTTTTCTGCTAATGGCATTTATTTTCGAAAATCTTGCCCTGACACACTTCAACAAAATGGGGTTGCTGAGCGCAAGCATCGTCATTTACTTGAGTTAACTCGGACCATGCTTCTTGAAGCTTCGGTTCCGAGTCACTATTGGGTCGATGCCATATTCACTGCTGCATATATTATTAATAGATTACCCTCTCCTACCTTAAATGGCTTTTCTCCGTACCAAAAACTTTTTAACCGTGTTCCGGATTACTCCTTTATGCGAGTATTTGGTTGTGCATGCTATCCAAAATTTTCGGCCACCTCAGCAAATAAATTATCACCTCGTTCAATTCAGTGTGTTTTTCTTGGCTATGCATCTGGTGATAACCCGCTTTCACGCGTTGTAGTAAAACGGAGTCTAACCTTTCGGTTTTTCCCCGAGTATCGTGTCTCTGAGGAGTGGCGAAGGGAAGTGTTGGTTTCAATATCGGTCACCGGTTAGTACAAATCGTTGCAAGCTTTCTCAAACGATTAATGGTGATAATGATTAAGTAAATAAAATTAAACAACAAAAGTAGTAGCGGAGAATTTAATTAAATGACATTAATGAGTAAACTAAAACTAGTGAACATGCAAAATAACTTGAGAGAGAATATTAACTAATAAAAAATATTAAACTAGCAAACATGTGAATGTGTAAAGTTTCGAAAATAAAATACTTAAAAGGTAAATTCAATGTGACTAGTAACGAAAAATTAACTAATTAAAAGTGGGTCTAGATTTGGAATTAAGGATCTTGGGTGTCTTTGATTATGAACAAAAAATGGGAAATTTTCACTAATCCAAAGATACTAAATATAAATTCTCATAGACAAGAAATTAATATTAATTGCACTAACATGTCCTATTTCTAGGCTTAGTTTAGGGTGTGTGAGATGTGAGCTAAAATTAATTCTAAACTCATAGACAAAAAAGTATTAATTTTCCAAAAATTCACAAGTGAAGTGATCAATTTCACAAATTACTCTTTCAATTTCATCTCAAACAACCAGTTCTAAAAATTAGAGAATTTTTCCAAATTCAACTCAATATTCAAGAACACCCACTAACCTTAACTTTATCCAAATTCAAACCCCATGGAAATTTAGCGTAACATGCTTAGCAAGAAACTAACCACATTAATGGAGGAGCTAAAGTAATACAAGGAAACATATAATTCAAATACAAATTCATTCAACATAATAATAGTTCAAAATCCAACTTAAGAGTAGTTCCAATTGAAAAATAATCCAAGAGTGAAATTTAAAGTTTACTCAAACATGAAATTAAAGAAGAAATTTAACACAAAACCTTAACATAAATTTTCGTCCTGCGTTTCTTCCCTTCCAGCCAGCTGCTGTATCTTCTCTGCCGCGGGTGAATTGTGTTTTTTTTGGCCAGCTGTTCTCCCAAGTCTTTTTATTTTTTATTTCTGGCCAAGAGCTGCTGGTCTAGATTCTTTTCTCCACCGTCAGTAGTGTCGGCAGCCTTAGTTTATCTTGCCCATCAGGATCATTTTTGGGCTGTCTTTTTTTTTCATTTCTTTTTATTTTCTTTTCTTTTCTTTTGTTTGCTTTTCTTTCTTTTCACGCAGCTTAGCTGCAGTTAGTTTTTTTCTTTTTTTGCTTTTCTTGATTAATTAATGCACTTCATTTATCAGAAAAATAATGCACTTCATTTGTTTATTGTATCAAGAAAAACATTGAAATATAATAGAATGCTGAAATTTGATAACACAAATAAGAAGAAAAAAAACATAAAATCAATCCAAACACTTGAATTAAACACAAATCACTCAAAAATGTAAATTTCAACGCTAATTTCAAACATAACAAAAATGCAACAAAAACGCAGAAAAATGTATAATTTGTCTCGAGTTTGACAAGAAACGCTATAAAAAGTGAGTGAAAATATATGAACAAATCAGACTTATCATCTGGTTATAAAGGCTATCGTTGTTTGGATCCTATCACAGGTCGAGTCTTTGTTAGCCGTCATGTTAGGTTTCATGAGGACACATATCCTTTTAAAACCCTCTCATCTGCTCCATCCTATTCTATTTCTACTACACCATCTCCTATGAATCTCACCGATATCACTCTTGACCCACCTGCCCAGTCTGTTCCCACAATCACGTCCGCACCACCACCCCCCCCCATCCGGTCACCCCTCACTCCTACCACTCCATTTGTAAAATCGCCCCATACATCCTTCCCCACGTTCACAACCAGCCCGCCACCATCACCTGTCTCCTTACATACTTCATCCAGCATGCCAGAGACAGCCTCAGTCGACTATGTCTCACCCGCAACCACCTCACCTATGTCCACTACGTTAGTTAACCAGCAACTCATGCAAACCCGTGCTAAGTCAGGAATTTTTAAGCCTAAAATCATTTTTAATTTAAGTACGGTTATTACCTCTGCAGATCCTACCTGTTTTACCGAGGCAACTAAACAATTAAAATGGCGTGAGGCGATGGCTGATGAATTTAATGCACTCATTAATAATAATACGTGGAACTTGGTGCCTTTTGATAGCTCTAAGAATATTGTTGGATGTAAGTGGATTTATAAAACTAAATATCATTCTGATGGATCCTTAGAGCGCCATAAAGCTCGATTAGTTGCACATGGTTTTAATCACCAGACAGACATTGATTTCTCTGAAACTTTTAGTCCTGTCGTAAAACCCACCACTGTTCAATTCGTATTGTACTTACTCTAGCTATCTCTTTTGGGTGGGGTATACGACAACTTGATGTTAAAAATGTCTTCTTACATGGTAATCTGACAGAAGAAGTCTATATGCGGCAGCCCCATGGTTTTATTCACCCTCAATTTCCTAATCATATATGTCATCTGCGCAAGGCCATTTATGGCCTTAAGCAAGCTCCACGGGCCTGGTTTCATAGATTTAGTAGCTTTCTTCTACAACATAATTTTTCCTGTAGCAAATCTGACAATTCTTTGTTCATTTACCGCCAGAATAATACTATTATTTATTTATTACTATATGTGGATGATATTATTATTACTGGCAATTATGAGTCATCTGTTACCCAATTTATTTCAATTATCTCTAAACATTTTGCTATTAAAGACTTGGGTAATCTCCATTATTTTCTGGGTGTCGAGGCTATTCGTTCAGTTAAAGGTATGTTTCTCTCTCAACATAAATATGTTACTGATTTTCTAGCTCGTTTTCATCTTCATACTGTAAAGCCTGTTCGCACCCCGTTAGCTTCTCGTACCACTATGTCTCTTTCTGATGATGAGTTATTGTCTGATTCTACTGAGTATCGCAGCATGGTTGGTGCATTACAATATTTAACTTTGACACGACCAGATATTACTTATGCAATACACTTAGTGTCTCAGTTCATGCATGCTCAGCTCCTCGTACCACTCATCTTTTTGCAGTCAAGAGAATTTTCAGGTACTTGCAGGGAACACGAGATCATGATCTCTGGCTTCAGCAGTCTAATCGGCCAACCTGTGTAGTTGCTTACTCCGATGCAGATTGGGCAGGTTGTCCTGATAGTTCTCGGTCCACCACAGGTTTTGCTGTATTTTTGGGTCCTAATTTGGTTTCCTGGAAGACTAAGAAGCAGCCTACTGTGTCCAAGTTCTCCACAGAAGCGGAATATCGTGCCATTGCTTACCCAGTACAAGACACACTACATATTTGATCGGTACTATTCGAACTTGGATGGCCTATCTCAGAGCCGGTACATTTATTATGTGATAATATATCTGCTTCTTACTTGACTGCAAATCCAGTTCAGCATGCTCACAGTAAACATATTCAGATTGATTATCATTTTGTTCGCGAACGGGTTGCTCATGGAGATCTGATTGTTAAGCATGTTCCTACTCATCTACAGCTGGCAGATATTTTTACTAAAAGTCTCTCTAGTCAACGTTTTCATTTTTTGAAAGACAATCTGCGCGTTGTATCTCCCGCATAGTTTGAGGGGGTGTAATAGAATTATTAGAGGCCTAGTATTGTACTAGTACTTTACATTAAACTTTCTTTAATATAAATATATCTGTCGGGGCTGCTTAGGGAGTAGCCTTTCCATTATTCTCGCAAATTGGTTATGTTTCAATTCGTTGACAAAAAAATAATAATTTGACTCGGAAAAAAAAAGAATTTGATGAAATATAGAGAATTTTGATTGTACGTATGGGCAATAGTCTGTAGCAATGATATGACGTAAAAACATACGGAGTATCAGATCTTGGGGGGAGGCTAGCGAGTAATTATTTAATCATGATATACAGTACCAAGCTAGCTAGCTAGCTAGCAGAATCATTCATTCATTCAGCGTCTAAATATATATGTATATATATATACGATAGTATATAGTAGGTATATATATATATTATTCTCAATGGATGAAATGATGCGTAGTTGGTTATATAGCTAGCTAGGTTGAGAGTGGTATATTGTTGAGGCATCTCTTTCTTTTCTTCCCACTCACCGTCACTGGCTTCACTGCTACTCTTTGTTTCTTATTAGAGTTGGGAAGGAGTAGTGGATGTGGTGCTGCTCCACTCTGGATTTGGTGGGAATTGAGGAAGGTGGTGGTGTGGAGCGAGGTAACGCAGCACTCCTCCCATTTCAGAGCAGCGAGGTCCTGTTTCACAGTCTTGATATCAGCAGCAGCAGCAGCAGCATGATGATTCCATACCCCCTTCCCCCTCATCTCCCTCTCCCTGTCGTGCTGCAGGGTTGAACGCCCAAGCTCTATCAGCTCCATTGAACCCACAGCCTCCAATACACTATTCTGCATCCCGAATGGCCGGCCGGTTATTATTGTACGTTCGTAGGTTTTTAAACACAAATTAAGCCAACGAAATTATTTATTACTCCAGACGGCCAGACGGCCGCGAAGGAGAAACTAGCTTGGATCGATCCACATCGATTATCGATGATGGAGTAGGTGATTTAAAAGCAAGCTAAGCAAGCATGCGTACCTTGGAAGCCGAGCGCATTGCTTTGAAACCATGCATGTCAATGATCTGCACAAATAAACAAACATAGATACATACATTCTAGCCATCAGTATATATATACTCATTCAGCAATTAACGAACAAAATCGTACATCAATTTCATACTGGACGCACGCCATCAATTAATGCAGATGAGATGAACACTAGCTACTAGCTAGTTCGTTAAATGGTGCTGTACGCACGCGCGCGCCGGCCTTCAATTCGATCATTTTATCATTTTATCAATCAATCAGCAAGCAATTAAGAAGATGGATCGGATCGGAATGCAAATGGAAGCTATGGATGGAATTGCAATGAAAAATAGCGGATCGGAGCGATGAGATCGCGCGCGCGGGATGGGGTACCTCTCTGAGATGAGGGGCGGTGAGGTGGAGCTGCCTATTGGTGTCGATGAAGTTGAGGTACTCCTCCACCGTCAATTTCCCTCTCGCTCTGGATGATGATGCCAGACTCCTCCTCCCTCTTTCCACTATTCCAGACTCCGCCATATCCCTCAGCTGCAAGATACATTTTCTCACACACCGCCCGCTTAATATAAGAGAGAGGACTGCGGGCCCCACGTCACATACCCATTTCAAATTTTTAACCGCGCGCCAAAGTTTACTTATTTAAATATCTATATAATTTGTTTTTCTCATTTCCCCTCATTATTATTTCTACCTTTCTTTTTTAAATTTGTTTCGTGATTACAATACAATTGGTCCAAAACATTTTATTTTGTCTCATTTCTCCCTATTTTGCACGGTACTCATATCTAGGGATGGCAACGGGGCGGATCGGGGACGGGTACACATAAAACCGAAACCGCCCCGTTAGATAAATGTTTGCCCCAAAACCGCCCCATTACCCGTTCGGGTAATTTTTATTTGAACCGTAACCGCCCCAACGGGGAATCGGTTTATCCACGGGTACCCGTTTGCCTAAATGATACCAAATAATCAATTTCTAACCCTACTTGTTTATGTAAACATCATTCGTAGTAAATTATATATTAAAAGCACCATAAAATATACAAAAGTAAATGTTCAATCAATCAAGCAGTTTTAGTCCTAAATTCATTAATATGACAAGCACTCAATATCTCTCGTAACATAATAAAAAAAGTAGTAAACAGAAGAAAAAAAGGAACTGGGTCGAATCCTTGATAATGAGAAAGATAGAAATCACCGGCGGTAGAGCCGAACTGCAGGCCTTGCATCGTTCCATCTAGAAAGATCGAAGAGAGCTGTTCTCACTATTAAGAAGCGGAGTCCTGAACCATAAATCCGTAATACACTGAGTTATGGATGTTAGGGTTTTTGAAGCGGACCTCTGCTATAGTAGTCTTTATATAGTTATATGAGATATACGATTTAGTGTACACAATTTAGCATATATACTTATTATTCTTATATATATAAAGTTATATTTTATTAATAATGTTATGGGTCGGGTAACGGTGCAGATACCCGCACTATTAGTGAACGGGGCGGTTTCGGGGCGGATAACGGGGCGGATTAGTATAGAACCATAACCGCACCATTATCCATTTAAAAAAATCGGGTATTCCCCGCCCCGTACCCGTTCCCCAGTCAAACCGGTTTTCCCCAGTTTGACTAAATCGGTTCGGTGCGGGTATCCAACAGATCGGTCGAAATTGCCATCTCTACTCATATCTACGAAAATACCTCATAATCTCTTCCATTTATCTACATGTTACGACTCATTTGATTTCACAACATTTTATCGATGATATCTCTCCCGCATTAACATTGTTCTATATTTTCGATAGAGTATATGAATCCAGATCTCATAACTCACATACTCAGAAGACTAAGAAAAAGCACAGGTGACACTCATATGGGCCTCTGTCGGCCAGATGTTCCTCCATCGACCAAACTCATATCAGTCCAGAATATTCTCCAAAAGCCCGGGAGCGTCACATGGTCCTCCGTCAGCCTAAGAGACATCACAAAACTAGATTTCATACTTAGCCAATAATTCGTACTATATCCAACCCAGTAGAGGTCTCATATTGTAAATGGGCCTTCCAAGGCCAAGACTTGGGAGCCCAACCCATATTTTCCCTATAAATATCCTCTTTGGGGGTAGTTGCAAGTGGTTGAGTAATATTAATTACACTCTCTCTAGCTCTCACTTCTCTCTAAACTAATACTCTATCAATTTCATATCCGGCCCGTCTCGTTAAGATTTTCCGATACCAAAATTTGATAAAATTTATGTGGTTCTAAATTATTCATACTTTATTCTTATTTTATTAATTCATTATCTATCACATAAACTCGTTTTTTTAATAATTGCACCATTTTCTCATGTACCAATTGTTAAGATAATGGGCCGTGTCCATACTATCATCAGCCCGTTACACCCGAGCTCCGGACCGGCCAGGCTCAGAACACAATTCAACTATCGGAAATTGTTCTGAGATTATTTAATATTTTATAGGGCCTGCTGACCCATTAGCGTCATTAGTAGTTTACAAATTCACTCAAGGCCAAATAACATTTAATGAGTGGACATATCATAAACAACTATATATGTCACCAACCCCCTTGTAATCGGGACGCGGCTTATGCAATTCTAACTATACTAGACTGTTGGCGCTTTCTCTCGCAAGCTATTTTTTACCGACATTAATGCTTTCGTTTAGAGCTATTCTCTCACTTTCTCGGTAGGAACTTTGAAGAGAACGATGTCATGAACATCACGACATGAGCGGGTTTCTATGAATATATCCACACCAAACACTTTGGACTTCCCAACAACCATCACATGAGGAGTCATCTGGTGGCGCCGACAAGAGATCTTAGGAACCAATTGTTGAATCCTGGAGACTTGAAAGGGGACACTGAACCACGGTCTCAACATGCGATCCGCCCGTGATCGACACAGTGGTGAACCACATTGTGCTTCGGGCACGAACCCAACACAACTTCATGTTGGGGTGCAGGCGCTCCAGAAAGTCAAGGATTTTAGAGGTTGATGTCGCCGCAGGAAGAAGTGCACAAGAAAAACCGGCACCTGGTGCGATGGAAGATTTGAGACTAAGGTTGAACGAGCTAAGGATAAGGGTTGCCAATCACGTAGGTCATCAGGAGGTCGGGTAATCCCACAATTTGCACGTGCCTTTGCAACTGATCGTCGGAATCCAAACACCCATGTATCCGCTCTAGTAGGCACATCAACCCCGGCTTTTGGTCAAGCATGTGTAAAGGGGTGAGGTCGCCCGTCATGACCGGCCAATTGCCATCGAGCAATGCTCTTGCCATGCATGTTGGCGGTGCATGGACTGATGATGGCCATGCCCTCCATTCCCGTCACTTGAAGCATATAAGAACTTAAGGTTCTGACTGGCAATATCCACACCATGTCGACGGCGTGTAGTCCAGTGAGAGGTAACTACTTCATTGCGAAGAGAGGTGATGACGACATATGGTTCCGGTCGCTCACATTTGCTTGAGGTTGGGCCACCTTGGTTTCCTCATCAAAGGAGCGAACTCGTGTAGAATTTGATCTGATCATATCCTGCTCTATTTTGTTCCATTGAAAGCGTTTAATATCTCTTTGGAAAGATCTTATCGAGTTCTAAAACTTGTCTTCAGTCGCTGGTTTCAACATATCAAGGGATTATTGTCTAATTACTAAAATAAAATGTATTAACGCTAAAAGTGCTCTATTTACGCTGAAAACGCTAAATCATAGAGATAAGGCTAAGTATTTGTGACACTCATATCTTGTTGTGTGTTCTTCCGTTTAGAGTGTATTATATATTGTTGGAAAGATAATTTGGAATTTTAAAGCTCTTGTTCCAACTTCATTTACAATGCATTAATTAAAAGTTACAGATTAACCATAAATTCACAAATGTTTTTAATTTCACTCCGAACTCGTGTAGAATTTGATCTGATCATATCTTGCTCTATTTTGATCCATTGAAAGCATTTAATAACTTGTTGGAAAGTTCTTATCGAGTTCTAAAACTTGTCTTCAGGCGCTGGTTTCAAAATATCAAGGGATGATTACCTAATTGTTCGGGTTCGTGTGTCTAGGGGTTGATAATCGAGTACTTGGATTGCTTAAGGATCGTGTAAGTTCACTTTCCGAATTGATATTTCTCCCCCTGATGGATTATAGGTATCCAAGTATATTAAAATGGAGAGATTGAGCTAGATAATTGGAGGAAGAAGATGAATGAATAGTGAATTGTGAATGAGTAATTATGAGTTGTGAAATTAGGTTTACAAGAACTCCCTAAGGGAGTATATATAGAAGAATATCCGGGTCTGGGCCTCTAATATGGGCCTGACAGACCCGGTTACATAAATGAACTGATAATATAAAAGGCTAATCTAGAACACCTGAATAATAATAAAAATGTACAATAATGAAAATGCTATCAGCTGAGTGTACGTGGGCCGCTGTCCGGGCCCAATAGTCGTGAGACCCGGGGGTCCGAGTCTATATACTCCATCAGGAGTCCCCCACTCCCTGAGTCGAGAGTACTCGAGGCGAAAGGGAGTAGAACTTTGCGTTGATCTATCGTCTGATGAGTAAACTTCGTGAAGAATTTTGAATTTCTGCTTCTTTGGCTAACGGAGGCGCTAAGTCCCCCGCTCTTCCAGTCCCCCACTCCTTGAGGTGAATGTAGTGAGGTGAAGAGGAGTAGAGTAATGCACGTCTTGAATAGGGGGCCGAGGGTCGACACCTTTTGATCCACAATGGGGAGATGCCTCGTTAAAAACCTCATTTGGAAAAAACCCAGTGGGAAAAAATCCTAATGAGGGAAAAAGAGTACACCGGATGCCCCCAAAATGAAGCAAAAAGGGGTGAGCCCTTCGACCTAGGTGTGGAGCTGCAACGGTGTCCGTCTGCTGAGGGGATGGCCGAGACCAGTCTCTAGATGTGAGTAGCTCGGCATGATAAGTAGTCCTAGTCATCAAATAAAGATGACTAAGGGATGGGTCGAGCGACCGTCCACAATATGATGTCTGGTTCATCAAATAAAGATGACCAGAACGTAAGGCCGATGGGCCGAGAGGCCTGTACGAGAGCTCCACGTCGTCAAATAAAGACGATTGGGCGATGTGTGCGGCCGAGGGGCCTGCATAAGAGCTCCACGTCGTCAAATAAAGACGACGGGGCGATGGTGTGGCCGAGGGGCCTGCATAAGAGCTCCACGTCGTCAAATAAAGACGACGGGGCGATGGTGGGGCCGAGGGGCCTGCATAAGAGCTCCACGTCATCAAATAAAGACGACAGGGTGATGGTGCGGCCGAGGGGCCTGCATAAGAGCTCCACGTCGTCAAATAAAGACGAAGGGGCGATGGTGCGGCTGAGGGGCCTGCATAAGAGCTCCACGTCGTCAAATAAAGACGACGGGGTGATGTATGGCCGAGAGAGGCCTATATGAGAGCTCCACGTCATCAAATAAAGATGACGGGGCGACGTATGGCCGAGAGGCCTACATGAGAGCCCCACATCATCAAATA